CCATTTTGTATGTTTTTTTTTTGTTTTTGAATTTGCGCGCCTTGTATTTGTTTTGTTGGTATTATGTTTGGCGGAATGGTGATGACCCCCCCCCCATCTCCTTCGGATCATCACAAGGGGTTTAGGTACTTTCTCACTGTCACCAGATTTCTAACTGCACCACACTGGTTGTCATTGTAAGGATACCACGTGACAAAAGTCATCCAATTGTACACGACCACGTTGTAGATGTATCTGCGCCATAGCGTTTCGAATACGTTTTTTAAATCATCTTCAGAATAATTTGATAAAAGTAATAGAAATTGTCCACGTTAAGTTTGTTACCTGATTCAAGAATTGAGGTTATATTCTGTTCGAAAATTATGTAATTATAAAAATTTTCCAAGTTTAGATTTGCGTCTGGTTTGACTAGGATGCGTGGTTGTGTTGAAGTTAACAGTTTGGTAAGTTCTTCGTCAAGTACCGAACTTATTATTACAATTGTGTCATTGAAGAAATATCGTTTGAGAAAATCATCGAGTGGTTTTGTGGTTGGCAAAACTAATAAAAGAACTGCAAACACAATTTTTGAATCATTTCGTGTCTTTTGTGTTTTAGAACCAGATAAAATATTTTTGGAAAATTATAAATTGTGTGGTAAAGGTGATAAACGATATAATAATACGTTTTGGTAATGTTTAGCTTAGTAACGTTAATGGATTAAGGAAGTTTAAGCTAATTTGGGGGAAAAATTGCCTGCATAAAACATAATGTTTTAATGTAATTGATACTATGAAACATGAAATGAAATGAAACACTTTAGTCACAGTAAATGTAATATTTTTTATTCAAAATAATATGCCGATTCCAACTCTTTTTTTTGAACCATTTGTTGCTTGAGAAATAATTTATGTAAGATTGCCATCCTTGTTAGTCGGGCAATGAACACATTCAAGGTTACAATAATTCGCATAAAGCTGAAAATTGGTACATACGAATGTTGGACACCCCATTATAAAAGCAATGTGAAAAGTCCCCATCGATCCCTCATCTGCAGAAAAAGTTATTCAAGGTCAAATGTTGCGAAAATGGGATTTTTGCATTTTTAGCCAAACGGTAAGTTTTATCATAAAAATACATCAGAGCATGCAAATCTCTATAAAAAATGTTCCTATATTTTTTTTCCTAAGAGTAACCATTTCTGAGATATAGCGAATTAAAAAGTTGAGTTCTTCATAATATGCATACGTTTCCACGCCATCTGTGAGGTAATATACTTGGCGCGTTTTTTTAACGTGGTTTCCCCGGTAGGACTATTTCACGATCTATTGAGGTTCTGTTTAATTGAGAAATATTGTATCAAATGACAAATGGTACTATTGGAGATGATAAAAGCGATGTAAATTATGAGTAATATAGAGGAAAATTATTCGTTGATAGTTATATGATGTTACTTCAAGTGTACTGTCTTCTTCGTCTTCTTCTTTTCTTTCTTCTTCTTCTTCTTCATCTTCCTGCTGGGTACAAGTAAATGTTCTAAGAGCGATGAATCAGATGTCTCCTTGCAGATGAAACAACAGTTTTTAAATTGTTTGAAAAACAAGACTTAATTGTGCTGAAGTTTTTCAAAATAGTAATTCTATTCCACAAGTTGTAATTAACAACGGAATTCGCTTTCTTCTTTCTGTGTACAAAGCTTCTAAAAAAATTACCTGCTTAGATAAGTTTCGATACTTATCTTTTTTTTTTAAAATACTCGTAACAAAAAAAAAATCAGATATTTTACTATTTAAACAAAATGTGATTATGAATAAAATAGTATAAAATTGTTTAAACAAAAATACGATTTAACCTGTCACACCAAACTTTTATTTTAAACACGACGCATTTCAACCACAAAATGGTCATCCTCAGGTGAGAATAAAACTAACTAATTTAACAATGTTAATGCCTCATATACTAATTTTTCCGACTTTTACTTTCCCTTCCCCCAACTAACGAGTAGAGGGGAGAAAAGGGAATGGGGCCGTTGTCTGAATTCATAAGCTTATTTTTAAATATTTCAAGACTCGAAAGCGTCGAAATTTATAATTACTCTAATAATTTTTACATTAGTTTCAACGATTCTATGGTCTTTTTCAAAAATATGTTGGGCCACACTTGATTATTTAATTCTGTTACATCTTAAATGAGCTCTGTGTTCTTTAAACCTAGTGTTAACTGATCGACGTGTTTGCCCAATATATTTTTGTTCACAATCTTTACAGTTAATTTCATAAATCCCCGATTTTTATAAAGGTTCTAATTTATCTTTAGGATTACCAAGAAAAATTTTGAGACTTATACCAGAGTTGTAAACAACTTGGAAGTCAAGATTTTTGAAAATTTTACTCAAACATCTTGTGATTGAGGGAATAAAAGGTAAGGTTATAAACTGTGTTTTCTCTGGTTTGTTTGTAAAAGTCGTGAAATTACTGACCATTTTTCTATACTTAACTTTTTGTTAATTATGTTAGTATCAAAACATAACTTTGATATTTTTTTAGACAGAAAATTTTTAACATTTTTTTATGTTCCTAGTATCTTATCTTACTTGTCATTTTTCTCTGGAGCGCGAGAGTTTTTAAACACCATGTATTTATTGATCACAAAAGTAATAGTCCATTTAGGAATGAGAAATTTTAATTTTTTGGACTAGTTCTATTCATTAAGAAAAAAAAATAAAAAGGCGTAAGATTTTATAAACGTCTATTACTTTTCCATAAAGAATACACAAAAAGATTTTAAAAAATACTCTCAATCACATAATATTTTAAGTACCTGCTCAGGCCCTTTGTCTTCAATAAAAAAGAGAGTGGACCCATTCCTGAAAAAAAGTGGTTTACTAAAAACGTACGAAAATACAGGCTATTCCGGCTAAACCCCACACTAGAAGTATTGGTAGTTGTAACAGTGATATTTATCTAAAATTTTGATTATAGCCATAATCGTTTAGATCCTGCTCAATGAAAATATTTTCAAGATGGCACTTCCAGTTACACTAAAAATGGGTATCAACTTCGTTATTTTAAAGAGAAAGTTATGTTTTTTATTGCGTTTACTCAAGTGGTTTTGAGAGAGTTTTTTTCAGACTTTCCTATACTTAATTTTAACCGTTTTTAAAATCGTATTTGGGTATATGAAAAAGAAAGGTTAGATCTTATATTTCGTGTATTTATAATTGGAAAAATAATTAACAAACCTCCAAAACTAAAGATAACGTTTGGGAAAATTCAAATACCCGTAACTGATTTTTTTCAAATGGAAGGCCCCAATATTTTCTTCACTAAATGAAAGAGAATTTAATTTTACAACGATCTGGATCAACATTCCCTATACCTACCTAAATTTAATGATTTCCAAATTATTTAAGCTTTTTTTTACAATGGAAGAAATTCATTACTATCCATGGTAGTTTTCGCATAGTTTGCCATGGAAATATTTCTCACTGAAAAAACGCCAAGTTTTTTTCCATAATTGTGTTATTCTTTTCGTAAATACAAATTAAATGTATTTAATCTAAATGTGAATAACTTTGGTATTCCATTTTTTCTTATTTCTATGACAATCTATGAAAAGAAGTTACTATAACTTGAAAACTGTCAAACATAGGTATAGGGAACGTTAATACAGATCGAAGCAGAACTAAATTCTTTTCCATTTAGTGAAGAAAAAATTGGGGTGTTTTATTTATAAAAATTGAGTTAAGGGTATTTGAAATTTTCTAAACGTAACTTTACATTTTGGCGGTTTGTTAATTATTTTTCCAATTATGAATACACCAAAGAAAAGATCTAACCTTTCTCTCTCGTATACCCAGATACAGTTTCAACATAATAAAAAATGGTAGAGTTATCGATTTTTGAATAGAAAGATTCAAATCCAAAAATTTTTAATAAGGTCTAAATATTTCGAAAACGGTTAAACTTGGGTATAAAAAAGGCTTTCAAAATCACTTGAGTAATCCTATAACGCTATAAAAATCATAAAGTTCGATTTACAATAACGAAGTTGATATCCACTTCTGGTGTAACAGGAAGTGCCGCCATCTTAAAAATATTTTTTTTGAGCGGAACCCAACCGATTATATCTGTAATAGTATATTACATAATGAGCACGGAAAGTGATAAATAATGCCCAAGCGGGAAAGTTGCATACGAGGCGTTAGCCGAGTGCAGGCAATACTGCGAGTGCGTTAGACATTTTCCTGTAAGTTTTGTACACTATTTTTCCTACGACCATAAATAATTTTATTCTTACGAACACATTTTTTTTCAAAACGATTAATTTTGTATAATGGATACAAATATACGTTGAATAACGATTTATTTTTTATAATGGATACGAAAAAATACGTTGAAAGAAAAAATACAAAACATTCGAGTGTGAATTGTGCGTTAGATTTCTAACACACAGTGCGAAAACAAATCGCACAGGTTTTTGACCTCGTATGATATTGCCAATTTTCGCGCATATGTAATTGTGCGTTATGATCTAGTTTCGTTTATGGTCGTAGGAAAATAAAATTTTAGGTAAATATCATTGTTGGAACTCCCAATACTTCTAATGTTTAGCCAGCCGGAACAGCCTGTATAATTGTACTTATTTTCTAAGATTAAGTATATAACCACTAAAAACTTCATTACCATTACCACATTAGGACCAGCTACTTAATGTAAAAGTATTAAGATCCACGCGCCCTTGCAAAAAAACACTTTTCGAAGACTGGTTGCTCTCACCAGCCAGGCCAAGCTCCAAGTAAGACGAGGGTAGCAGCATTGATTAACCATATCGGTTAATATGGTTAATATGATTATTATGGTTATTAACTATATTGGTTAATATGGTTAATCAAGGGTAGCAGGCACAAAACTGCTTGAATAATTTACGACTGGGGTTTATGTTCAATAGTTTATCGGTTACCACTTATACAATATGATCGCCATATTAGAGAATAAGTATGACTAAATGATAATAGCAATGAACATGGGCGCCCACAGGGGGGGGGGGGCAGTGGGGGCCGTTGCCCCCCCCTGGGACAATAGTGGTTGCTATTTTATATATAAAAAAGTTTTTTTTTTGATTTTTTACAAACTCGTTCTAATTTAAATTTTCATGAACGAAATAAGAACTACTATTTACATTTTTATCACGAACTGAGTGATATGAAAACAGACGAATAAAACTGTTATTATTAATTTCGACTCTTTTTTTGTCCCCCCTGACCATAATTTCTGCGGGCGCCCATGGCAATGAAGCAAAAATAGTTTTATTTTTGCAGCTTTGCTACAACAAACAACATACCAGCCACGACCCAGGTGCAGGACACTTCTTGTCTATTAACAGTCTTTGCGCCTTTATGATATCCTTTGGGTTGAAATCATGATAAACATAATTATGTTTATTAAAGCATACGTATTTTTTCGCAGGATAGTAACTAAAACTGCTATTATCTTCCAGGGTTACATTGGCTTTTTTTGAACACATTCCCGTAATATAAATATCTTCAATATAAAAAATCGGCGTTTCAAAAGCGAAATGATAAAGTTTCACTGCAACATCGGCTGACATTAGGTAGGTTGCCCCGCACAGATAAGCTGGGTATTTATCATCCGGATACACTTCATAAGGCACATACCTAAAAAAAATACATAAATAAAACAAAAAATAAAAAAATAATAATCACCATTTGCTGGTGGTATCTCGAATTGGCTTTGAACTATTGTAAATGTGGCCAAGTAATAGGTTTGTAGTAATATTTCGATTTTTAAGCTTTTCAAGTAAGTTTGCGATGTTCAAAAACACATCGTCATCGATTTTTGCTAAGTATTGGTAAGAATCTAAACAATGTAGATAAAACAACTTTAACATATTTATAGATTTTAAAGTTAAGTTATTGTAGGATTCTATAAAGCGTTCTTGGATTATATCATTATATTTTTCACTCTCGTCTTTCAACTTTAGCTAGAAAAAAAGAAACAATTGCCATGGGTCTAAAAATAAAATTCACTGACTTACTTGTACTTCATGCCGCCTATTTTTATCTTCTCCAACCAAAAAATAGAAACTTACATTATCACCTAAAAGTGGAAAAGAACATCTACTTAGAATGTTTTTTATCAATAATAAATTATATAACATATTCATTGGTACAACCATCATAAACAAACAAAGTAATTACTGGTTGTTATTTGAATTAAAAGGATTCTTTACCGGAAAACTGTGACTTACCTATTCAATATTTTATTATGAAAAAAAATAATATATATATA